GAGAGGGCGTAACCCTCTACCGGCCCGCCGGTCCCCCAGGATCGGAATGAAATAACGCTTATGTCGTTGTTCTACTGTAGGATTAGAGTAGCCCATGAGTTGGCGATGGGTAGTGTTGAATAGCCGATTTCTCTCTAGTATATTATTTTAAAATTAGGGACCGCTTGGCAGATAACCCTGGAGTATCTTTAATTTAACAAAGAACAAAAAAAATCAACCTAAATTTATTGAGTAATAACCGACTGTTGCTACATCGAAGTAAAACCAGAAAACACAAAAACAGAAATGATCGTCGTTAGGGTAGATGTCAGAATTTAAAAATATGGGAAATATGGTATTTTTTACCATTTGTCAAAAATATAAGGCTTTTACTTACATTTCTTAATAGTATAAAATATACATGTGTTGTTGTTAGATTATTCTACAGTAGGTGTCTGTGACTTGTTAGCGATAAATTCAACAATGAATAATCAACATACACTTTACTCGTTTTCAAATAATATATATATATATATATATATATATATTCGGAACAAGTTAAACATATGTACAACAAATTTTGCACACTATAGAGGTTGCAGGCATATCATAAACACAATTTATATATAGATCTCTTCTTCTTGTCAAAAGTCCACTTAGGCCTATTCAATTACTTTAGAATTTCAGTTGACTAGGCGAACTATCTTCTCTATTACTAGTATTCTGTGTGTGATTTACTTACAGTTGTGGCACGAGTTGCCGTAATCGTTTGGTCTTCTTTCTTCTAAATATCCTCTGTTCTTTTTATCAAAATGCACTTAGGCTGATTCAGTTACTTTAGAACTATTTTTTGATGGAATAATTATTATTCTTATCTCCTTTTGTACTGTTAGTCTTACTCTAACATATTAAACGTTAGACCTATGTCAATCGTTAGGCCTATCACTTCTACAGTAGTTAACTTCATGCCGAACTTTTTCTTGCCCGTAACTTTACTCTTTTCTGCTATTGTCTGTTTGTTGTTTTCGCTCGTCTCACACGATTTATATCTTTATCACTTAATCGTCTAACCTTCTATTCTCGACGTCATTGTATTGCACGTCACGTTCGATAGTCTCAGCATTAATGAATTATAAACAAAGTTCTGGTAAAAAAAAAAAAACTAACATCTTGCATTGGTAATTTTTAGTGCCCCGGTGGGACAGTGGTAAATCTAAGGATTTACAACACTAAAATCAGGGGTTCGATTCCCCTCGGTAGACACAACAGATAGCCTGATGTGGCTTTGCTATTCGAAAACACACACACTGGTAGTGTTTTTTGTTCTTGAACGACCGCAAAGGCAATTTATACTTCCTTAACACTATCTCAATGCCCCCAGTGGCACAGCGGTATGTCTGCGCACTTATATTGCTAGAAACCAGGTTTCGATGCTCGTGGTGGGCAGAGCACAGATAACCCTTTGTGTATCTTTGTGCTTAACAACAACAATATCTCAATTTTGAAAATTACAACTGAATACAACTTATGTACTTGTAATTTTATTCTAAACTAGAACTTCTTTTTTCTTTATCATAACACGGAAGAGCATTGGGGACGCTACCATAATGTTTTGTCGCATGGAATAGTCACCAGAGGACTCTGTTAAGGTATGCCTCTACAAGGTCAAACATCATGACATTCAAATTTCAATTGGAAACCACATAATAATTTGTTTTGGTGCCCTGCTGTTCGAAGAACATGAAATAGCCGCCAATAAATATTTTTTTTTGATTTTCAAACTATTTTGATTCTAGATTGTACACATGTTATAAACTTTAAGCTCATCTCATTCATTGATAAACTAGACCTTTTGTTGCGTTGGAACAGTTTCTTAGATTTAGAGTATTTTTTTATATTTCAGTGTTACTTGAGAGCTTTAATGAATGCCAGTATCATTTTAATAGTCTATTCTATTTATAATTAAATTATATAATAAGCTAGTGGATATTCTTGATATAGTTACTGAATCACCTCGGATTAGATCGTTTTTTCGTTGTTAAACCATATAAGAAAACGGCACAGTTATTTTAGATAAGGTAAGACTACAATGACAAAGTAACACGGGTAATTCGGAACACTACAAATTATCGAACGAACCTACCGCTTCAAGAAAAAACAAACTGATTAAATTCTTGTTAAATTTGCAGAAAACTAATGACCCGAGATATTCTCAGGTTTGAAGAAGGTCTTATCTAGGGGTTTGAGATATTCTTTAATACCTAGAGAAAAAGGTCTTATCTAGGGGTTTGAGATATTCTCTAGTACCTAGTGAAGAAGGTTTTATCTAGGGGTTTGAGATATTCTTTAATACCTAGAGAAAAAGGTCTTATCTAGGGGTTTGAGATATTCTCTAGTACCTAGTGAAGAAGGTTTTATCTAGGGGTTTGAGATATTCTCTAGTACCTAGTGAAGATGGTCTTATCTAGGGGTTTGAGATATTTTATAGTACCTAGAGAAAATAGTCTTATCTGGGGGTTTGAGATATTCTCTAGTACCTAGAGAAAATAGTTTTATCTAGGGGTTTGAGATATTCTCTATTTTTTATTATTTTATTTATGAAGTGTGTTCAGGAATATATTTTCTTCTTTGCTGATGTAAGAAAGTTTGTTCCCAAACTTATAGGAATGTAACCACGAGAGGGCGATACTGCTGATATGTGCTCTAACATTATTGAAGGTTAAAATAAATCCAACAATAACATTGTCATTACAAAACCAGACAAGGGTAACACCACGACTATTTTGGATAAAGTAAACTACATTGACAAAGTAGCACAAGTAATTAATAACACTAGGATTCTAAACTATCTAAAGACCCTACTAATGCAAGAAATAACAAACTGATTAAATTCTTGTTAAATTTGAAGAAACTAACGACCTGGTTGATAATACTTATAACGACATTAGACCAGTTGGTTCCCACGCAGGAACACGTTATCGGCTACCTAACATTCACAAATCTGATTGCTCCATTAGATCTATTGTTTCCAACATAGGTTGTTTTAACTACAAGCTCTCCAGATTATTATGTTCATTCTTCATTGATTTTACTTTCAACAATTACACAATGAAAGACAACTTTGATTCTTCTGATAATGTTAGAAATTTGAGGTTTGATTAAGACGTATATTCAGCCAGTTTAGATACTGAACCTCTGTCCACTAACCTTCCTCTAGATGAGACTATTAACCTTTGTGTTAATCTTGTTTTCAAATGTTAATGGACTAATTAGACAATCTTTCAGACTACTGATGGAATCCGCAAGGAAAAAAAATCTGTTTGATTGATGGGGTCTAGCTTATTGCCAGTAATGGCTGTTTTCACGAGAACAGTTGACTAACGGGTCGTTTTACTGGGTTCAAACCGCTTATTTACAATCGTTATGTTGATGACAAATTTTAAAAGTAGAAAACACAAAATCGGACGTTTTTTTGGTAAAACGAAAGGTAAACTATTTATCCTTAGTTGTACTCATTGTACCAATATATATACACTGAGTGGTCACAAGTAAATATACACCTAATTTTTCGTCATTTAACTGATTTATGCTAATTAATTTGTGTTCACAGAGCACTATATAAATGAAAATGGTTTGCACACTAATTATCTTGTGCTACAACATGCCTAGAATTCAAGGTTCTCTCAAATTATCAGATTTTGTTAGAGGAAGGATAATTGGTCAAGCAAATGGTGGAATAAGTCAGCGGCAAATTTCGCAT